TAATAAATACTTATTGTTGTAAAGATAATAACACTCTTATCACATTAATGACTTTGCAGTAGTGTAAATGAAAATGAATATTAATAAAGTTAACAGTAACCTTGATACAGTAGAACACCGGTAAGTGGGAAATTTTCTCAGTGTTTTGTAGTACAAGAAGGCTTTCTTTTCTGTTTTTTCTCTGCCAGCATTGGAAGGGAAAGTAGAAGAGATAGAAATTTAGATATCTGTGAAAAAGGCTCAATGATTATTTCCTATTATAGATCACTGCAGTCTGTTTTATTAAAAATATCCTCTCAGCCTCAATTCTTCCCTGAGGTATTTCTGCTGCCTACCAGCACTGCAATGAATGAATGAAGACACCATATGGGCACTTGTCTTCCAGTGTGGATATTGGTCTTTTGGGGTTCTGCATGGATCCCAGCATATGGGTCAGACTGACATTTCTTTTTTTGATCCAGAAGAGAAAAAAAACCCCAAAACTAACAGTGCTAAAGCAGCCTTTCTAGGCAATTCTGCATTTTCTCATCTGAACAGCTTTTCTTTCCATGGTTTGTCCCTATGGCTTGTACACCAGCCGGGCCTGTGGCAGCCTTAGCTGCAGCCAGGACATGCCAGACCAGCTTCACCGCTGATTTGGCAACCAGCACAGGGTTTTGTTCCTGCACGGTCAAATGAAGCAAAGCCAGAGGTCATGTCCCAGGACAGTCCCACGCCCAGGGAGCCAAGAGCTTCCAGGAAGGCACAGACATCCTGTCTGCAGGGGATCTGCAAGTGCACGGCCTGTTCAGGCGGCTCAAGGAACGTCAGATCTCCTGCACGTCTCCAGCCTGTCTGTGCAAGGCCAGAGGAGCTGGCCTGGGATGGCCCAGAAACACTGGTCTGGCTGTGAATGGTCTGTATGTTTTATCTGTGTTACTGTGGGAGACACATCAAACATTCCCAGAGGTCTTGCTGCCTGGTATGAACCGCTGGAAATCCTGGACAAGGGGAGAAAATCCTGAAGTTGCAGCCCGCCAGACAAGAAAAGTTGTGGAAGTGAATCATAGAAGCATAGAATGGTTTGGGTTGGAAAGGACCTTAAAGATCATCCAGTTCCACCCCCCTGCCCTGGGCAGGGACACCTCCCACCAGACCAGGTTGCTCCAAGCCCCCTCCAACCTGGCCTTGAACCCCTCCAGGGATGGGGCAGCCACAGCTTCTCTGGGCAACCTGGGCCAGGCTCTCACCACCCTCACACCAAAGAATTTCTTCCCCAGATCTCATCTCAATCTCCCCTCTTTCAGTTTAAAACCATTGCCCCTTGTCCTGTCTCTCCATTCCCTGATCCAGAGTCCCTCCCCATCTCTCCTGGAGCCCCTTTAGGGACTGGAAGGGGCTATAAAATCTTCCTAGAGCCTTCTCTTCTCCAGGCTGAACCCCTCCAACTCTCTCAGCCTGTTCTCACAGGGGCTCCAACCCTCACAGCATCTCCGTGGCCTCCTCTGGACATGCTCCAACGGGCCCATGTCCTTCTGCTGTTGGGGCCCCAGAGCTGGAAGCAGGACTGGGGGGTGTCTCCCCAGAGCGGAGCAGAGGGGCAGAATCCCCCCCTCACCCTGCTGGCCATGGGGCTGGGGATGCAGCCCAGGGTGCGGGGGGTTTCAGGGCTGCCAGCACACGCTGCCGGCTCATGTCGAGCTTCTCATCCATCAACACCCTCAAGTCCTTCTCCTCAGGGCTGCTCTCAATCTCTTCTCTGCCCAGCCTGGATTTGTGCTTGGGACAAAGGCACTGTAGAACTCATTTAATAAATCATTCAACCACGCAGAAGCTTTCTCCCTCTTATATTGCATCATTTTGCATCTTTAAAAAAAAGAGTCACCTGCAAGTAAATCATCAAATACGGGGATTTTTGCATTCCTGTATATTTCCCAAGCATGTTTTCTTTGTTCTCATGCAGGCTGAATTTGAGATTGGGAGCACATGAAACTGAGCAGTAAAGCTTTTTGCAAGATTTTACTACAGCATACGCTGTGCTGACCTAAGAACTCCTATAGGAGCAATTGATACCAGTAATAGTATGTTCTATAAAAGAGAGAATAATCTATTCTGAACAAAGAGCTCTCAAACATATGGTATTTTGTTAGTCTAACACGAGAGGTATGCCAATTTGCTGAAAGTGCAGGCAGAGGGAATAAGGATATTGCAAGATTTTGAATACTAAGCATAGAGATTTGAAATTTAAAAACCAAGGGCTTACGTAAGGTTAAGCCTTGAGATTTTTTAAGCCCACAAAATCTGATAATTGTGAAGTTATTGTCTTTACTGCACTGAACCTGTCACGTTGCTCATTTGCTTTTACAGTTTGTGGACATTTATATGCACCAAGGCATAAATCTAACAGAATAAACAGTAATGTAAAAAACTACAGATGGCAACTGCAGAGCAGCCAAGCATTGGTTCTGAGAGGGAATTTAACTTTAAGGTTTCCTGGTTTAGCAGATGGCAGATCTCAAGCCTGACGTTGCATTAATGTAGCTTTCCTGAGTGTAGCCTTTTGGTGGAGGGAAGCGTGTGGTCAGACTCACAGAGAATCTGCATTAGATGCTGCTGTTACATGACCCAAAAAATTCCCTGATAACAACACCTCGACAAAAAGTGTAGATGTGTGGATATGTAACTCATCCCACCTTAGATATTTGGGTTTGGCTTTCCAGTTTGGGGAAGGTAGCTGGGTTTTAAAATGGGACAGAGAGTATCAGCAAACGGCTGGAGACAGCAGTGATGAGACATCCGTGATGAAGAAGAATTTATTGTACATGACAGGCTGGAATAATGTATTTCTCTGTTTCTAACCAGGAGATCTAAAGAGGGTGGCAGATGTAAATAAGAAAATGTGGCTTTATCACTGTGGGAAGCTGCACTAACTCAGCCAATGACCCCTGGAGAGCTTAAGGAACTCTGCAAGAGCTTGACCTCTCTATGAGCATAACCTTTTCTTCTGCACCAATATGAGAGTGTTACTAACATTGGTTATAAATGAAATATAGATGCATTTGACAGGAATATGTAGATTCCAGCACGCACGTTCACCTCTCTACATTGGCATTGCTAATCTGTCTTTCTCCAACACTCTGATTTACTACAGTCTTTAAAATGCAGACTAAGACCTCTCGGTAGTGTTTATGTCACTGTCATGTTTTCATTTTGTCTTGTTATTATGATTTCCCCCAGCCAGAAGCTGGCAGCCACTGTCTTAAGCATAAAAGTGAACTGTATGAATTAATGATGGCCAAAGGGTATCGTGGCAACCAGAGGTGCAAAGGAAGGTGGCCACATTTCCAAACAGCATGATTAAACATCGCAATATAACCTTGGTGAGTTAATACAGCATCAATTGCCCACAACTAACACGATAATTTCACCATCCAGAAATACTCCAGGGAAATAAACATTTCTCATCAGTGCCAGGAAAGCTGAATCATTAACGAACAGAATGATGATGAAATGTAGAAAGTCTTGGTTCTTGAGCAAAGCACATTAGTTTCTGGGACATGAGGCTCATTTGTAATAGGGAACTAGTTCATATAATCAACTCAAAGACCATTTTCTGAAATAAAGATTGATTTCTGTGCCAGTCCTTCTATGTGAAACGCACTCACAAATGGTATTTTTATGTCCAGGAACGGGTATTTAGATGCCTAAATATCCATTTCTGTATACCAATGGGCAGTTTGCCTGTGAAGCTAGAAGAAAAGCAGGAGAGAGATGGCTTTTCCAAAGCTGAACTCCCCAGTGGTTCTTCTTGGCTCTCATTTTGAGGAGAACTGGCTCGGTGTGTTTCTCTCTCCTCAGTGTTTCTGGGTAGAATTCATAAGCCATTGAAGTGCCTCATGGCACCAGTCCGAGCTCTCTGAATAGGGATGAGACTATGGCTCTGTCTCATCTGCTCTATAGCAATGCTGGATGTTAATATTTCACTTTTCCCCAGAAGTTCCCAAAGCTCTTTTCAAGCCTAATTAAGGTTCACATCACACTTAAGAATGAGGCAGATATCCTAATGACAGGAAGAATGAGAACAAGAGAAGTGAAGGGACTTGCTCAATATCACACAGTCGCAGTCCTGAGACTGAAACGCAGAAGATCTCGAGTCTCAGTAGTTTGCTGTAACCGCTAATGAATAATAATGACTGGCCATATTGATAATTAATAGCACTTTCACTGAGCATAATACACGTAAAGTGCTGCTGGAATACTAATTCATTCACCCTCCCTCATCACTGGGGGTACGCATGGTCTTCATCCTCCAGCCCACTCCACTTTGCACATGTGGAGGACCAGTGATTTATCAGACATTGCTCCACAGCAGAAAGCTGAGCGTGGAAATGGTGGCAGGATGGGGTGTGAAAGAGGATGCTCAGGGTGTCTGGCTTTTGGTGGTGCCTGATGTGGGGGTGCTTGAGGTGAGGACGTGGTCTCCCTTACTGCCAGCAGAAAGAAGCAGGCTCCATTAGAAGCCCAATCAAAGCTTCTGAATTAGAAGCTATTTCTCTGCTGAGCCTCTGGAGAGCCTAACATTAGAGGTCTCAAGCTAGACATGTGAATACTCTCCCCTAAGTGCTTATTATTATTCCCATTTTGCAGGTGGGTGAACTGGAAAGGACAGGACTGCGCTAAATTAAGTGAGCCGCCGGCAGTGGCTAGGCTCCCTCTTCCCTTCCCCATAAAAACCCCTGGAAATGTGCATGAGAAAAAAGAATGCAAAGCCGAATAAATCTCCAGGGAATATGTTTAGGTTGTAAAAATACAGAGACAGTATCGAAATATCTCAAAGTGCTCTTGGAATATATGGTGAGTCATGAGCGCCGTATATTAAATGGTCAACGCTTATTCAACAGAAGTAATTCCTCATGCGAGACCACGGGAGTCACAGGAATTGGCTTTGCACCAAACTGCCTGATTCAGCAAGATATGAGCAGTGAGCAGAAGCTCTGCTCCTCTGTTTCAGCTTTGAGGCACCGCGAGAGAGGAAGTAACCAGCACGAGGAGAAACTTTACAGATTCAAGTATGGCAGTGCTTTAACTATGTGAGTAGAAAATCATAAAAAAAAAAAAAAAAAAGCGTTAAGAATAGATAATATATGTATGAAATTCACCCCTCCCATGCTATTTCTTCAGCTTGTATGATGGAGATTGGATTTTATCTCTCTTTTTTCTGCCATCTCTGGTATTCCTCCTGAAGCCAAAATTCTGTTGCAACTCTGGTACTCATTAAAAATTATAATATAAGAAAGTGTTTATCAGTTCTACCATTGCAGGTGGACTGGAAGAATGATTACAAATTGAAATGACTTTGTAACGAAGTCTGAGTTAGCAAAAAAAAAAGCAAGAAAAAAGGAATATTCATTTTTTCTGAAATTAGCAGAAAGAATAGCACTTGGAGAAAACATCTATCATTATGTCAGCAAGGAGGTATGTCATTTATCTTTGTAATCATGGTTTTCATAACTTTGAAGGTAAAGACAGTTGATTTATCTTGATTTTTTCTCGTATAACACCTAGCAAGTGAAATGACTTTATTTGTGTATCTGAGATGAAAGCTAATCTAGCACAAGCACGCTTGGAAATTCATCTCTCGGTAGCTGTGCGGGGTCAGGGCCCATGCTCGGGTCCTGAGGGAAAGCAGCATGACAGGGGTCATCTCTGCACAAGTCAACCCTCTTCTTTAAAAAGCAGGCTGACCTCATGCATCGACCTCATCAGTGACTTCATACCTACGGGAACAGTTGCTGACCATGCTCTTCCCTCAAACAGGTACCGTCTGGGCTAAAATGGAGCATATAAAAGCATAGCAGAGAGGGACCTCATCAGATTTTTGTCCCTCCCTGCCCTAATGCTGCCCAAGTAGCAGCTTTTCATCAAGGGTGAGTGATGCTCATGTCCCCCTCGGATCCCCTTTTTATAGGGGTACAGGGTTTGCTCTTCATAAATCAATTTCTGCCACAACAAATGGCATGTCCTTACGGTAAGTGCTCATCCCACAAACTCAACATTAACAAGTCAGCCCTGGTACTTGATATATTTATACATTATGGCTAAAAAATAATTTTTGTGTCCAGCAATATAGGTGTTTATCCAGAATGTAAATAATTCTTAATGAAAGATTCCCATGTGCATGCACAGCCATGCCCACGTGTTGTATGTCTATTTGCTTCATGCCACAATCTGTTTTTCTCAACTCTGAAGCCCCTGCTGAAGGCTGGAACTTCATGTTTAGGCATGAATGAGGAGAAACAGATGGGAAGGAGGAAAGACTACAGTATGCAGGGAAAAGAGCTTATAAAATACAGTTAATCTCATTATTCTTGAGGCAGAGAGAATGGTAAAAATTAGTTAAGGAAATAAGGCACACATATAATCCAAGCCCTCATTAGAACATAGCCCTGATCAAATTTTAAATGCTTCATTTTGAGTTCAGAAGCTGGAGGAGGAGTAATAAATGACATGAAAGTAAAAACTCTGGGTATTGGAGTGCACACAAAATGGCCCAGTGACCTACTATTCCCTACCAGTGGCTCAGAGATTAAATATATTACCATACATAATAGATCTGGAGAGTGACAGTTTAAATATATGACACCGAGGGGGAAAGATTGTTCTGTAACAGAAACTAAATGCCTCCAAGAGTAATGCTCGTCCCTCCTCATTCACAAGAGCAATAGGAAACAAGGAGGTGGTTCATTTGGGAGAGGAGAAGACAGGCACAGAGCTCCCTTTGGCTTTGGTGGCAACGATGTGTGCCTTTAATTAGGAACCACAAGCAGCAGAGACAGAAAAGCTGCCTGATCATTTTAGCAGAGGTCTGAGAGGTTTTAGAGCATCCTTCCCCATTACCTGATCATTTTAACTGAGAGGCCTTAGAGCTTCTTTCCCCATTTATTCTCCTTCTTAGCTACCTCAAGCTCTTCTTTAGCCAAAGCTCATGAAGTATTATGGATTTCTAATGACTTTTTATTAAAGCCAAAAATTTGAATAAGAGCCTGAAACAACCTAATGTCAAGCTCCTTGGCCGCTGGCTCACCTAGTTTTGCCCTTGGTTGGTGTCACCTGTCCAAGAGCTACAGGAGGAGCGATGTGAAACCCTCAGGACACGTGTGAGCTACTTCTGATGCCAGTTTGACCCCATGTCCATTTGTCTTCTGAATCGTAACTCCTCGTTCATATTCCTTTAGAGAATGACAGAGCTGGGCGTGCAGCAGTTTTAAAAGCTTTCCCTGCCCTGGGAGCTACACACACGCATTTCCAAAAGCAGCAGGCTTCAAGCCTTCTCCTTGCATGTGGTGCCACAAAAGCATTATGGTAATTCCGAGCACTGAACCATTTAAAATCTATTTTAATTGATTCCCGGCTACTTCGTGATTCCAGCATATTGTTAAATCAGCGGTAGATAAAAGGTGGCAGGAGGTAACATCTTTTGTATTGCTTCAGGGAGATCACACCTAAAATAAAGCATTAAACTCTGGGTACCTCATTGCCAGAGAGATGCAGACAAATTGGAAGAAATTCATAGAAGAGCAATAAAAATGATTAAAGGTCTGAAGAGACTGAATTATGCGTGAAGATTAAAGGAACTTAATATGTATCGCTTGGCTAAATGATGACTAAGAGGGAAACGATACCCTTCAACAAGTACTTGGAGGGCATAAATATCACAAATAAAAAGGAATTCTTTAGGGTGCTGAAGGACATACAACTTGGGATAAAAGGATAGTGACAGGCAAAAGGAAGCTGGCTCTCAACATACATCATTAACATCTAACAGGCCATTTGTGGGAGTCCAAATTCTCACACATTTATCTAATCATGTTGCAGTATTAATTTTTGCCTGTTCTAGGAAAAAAAAGGCATTGTCTTCAATTAAAGACCGACCATGAACTCCCCAGATGCACTCAAGGGATGTGTGTGCCAAGAAGAATAATTCCCAATCCAAGTTGGGAAAACAGCAAAAAAGCATTCCGAGTGTTTGAAGGTTGATATACCCTTTACCGAGAGCCAGAGGATGTATAAGATATGAAATTAGTGATCTGTATTTTAGCAACGTGTCTGTTGCCAGGATACCACGGGGAAAATAAAAGTAATAATGCATTTCTTTAAAACATAAAACATTAATTCCATTAATTCCAGGGAGAGCTATACCCATATTTTAATGGGAGAACAGGCCACTAAGAAGAACGAATCTTCCTGCAATTTTCTCGTCGGAGCAAACTCCCAGCTCAGAGTCCAGTCTCGGCGCTGGAAGAAGAACCAAAATAGTCTCCATGGGTGTTGGGAGATGCACATCCCGACCCCAGCCTGTGTCAGGAAGCAGCCGTGGACCCAAGGGGACTGAATGTCTGCATGAAATTGGGCTTTGCTGTGCCTCTGCTCGGCGGAGCGGCTCAGCAGCGTAGCCGTGCAAGCCCTAAAACTGTTCAGCACAACATATATATCACCTTGTGGTTTTTCAGACTTACTGCATGGAAACTCCCCGCCTTGAATTTAGAGGTCCCCACCCTTTGCTTTCCCGGGAAAAGAAGGAATTGTGAACCTGCTGGCTGGCTGCTGGGGAACTCGGCGTGTCTGTTTGCTCCTCGCAGCTCACGGCAAAAAGGGGGACGGAGACGTTTTGGGGAAGTTTTCATCTTTTCCTGTCCCAGCCCACATCCGTTTCTGGTGAGATTACAATTTGACGTAAAGGTAGGAGTTTATGTTGGGACCCTGCAGCAAGGTCCCTTGAGAAAAGCTTTGGAAAGCAGTGCCTGGAGACGGGAGACCCTGGGAAAAGGGCTCCCCAAAAGCAGTGGGAATGGGAAGCAAAAGTCTCCTTGGTGCTTGTGGGCAATGAACTTCTTTCTCTGGTTTTCAAGGTTGGGAGAGAAGAAACACAGAGCAGAAACCTCTGCCTTTCTAACCCCTCTTTGTGAGAATAACCTAGGGATGCTGATGCCGTGACAGGAGTGCGGAGGAAGAGCAGTCCATTTCCCCGGATTAGCATCCCATTACAGCCTTGCTCTGAGGACACAATCTCATTTGTTTATCCCCGAGTTAAATCTGGCCATAAATGCACAGTTCTGTGGCTGTCAGACCCAGTCACAAACCCCCTTCACCAGATTTCTGCCCCAAATGGTGGTCAGCAGCAATAAGATCCCCCTGCATAAAAGAAATCACCTTTAAAATTCACCCACTTGCACTCCTAGTGCCTGCTTTTCAACGTTACTAAAGGACTTTCCCATCTTTTTTACTAGATAAACCCGCTTAGAGATATGAAATATGTGCAAACTTGCTTTAAAAGTGAGATGATCCTTTATACGTTGCAGAGTAAGCATGGCAACCAGCAGAAATCATATTTAGAGGTCAGGAGCTTTCATTTTATGAAAACCAATCCAGTCAGAGAAGGTTAGACTATCATTTCTGTACTGAAATCTCTCTTCTTTCTCTGAACATCTTGATTAATGAGAATTAAAGCCCAGTCTTAGTTTTTAGGGTTTTTTTTTGACTATTTATTCTGACTGATCTCCTGACAATCATTGTTCATGGTAACACAGTTTATTACACCCTAAGATTTTATATTTCCCTCCCCATCTCACCAGGTAATGTTGAAGATGGTTTCTGAATGTCCATGAGATGGGTAGACACAGCCTTTTTGGAGTGCCTGGAAGTTGGAGCTGCCAGGAGTAGATACAGCCATCATGGTCCTTACTCCAGCTGGTGGCTGGGGAGGAACAGCATGAACAGAGACTTCCCCAGGGAATGAAGATCTTGTTTTCATGACAGCTTCTTTGAATGTTTTTTTGAAAAATACATAAAAAGGAAGGGAGTATAATTATCCAGAAATCTGGCTAAGCATAATTGCTATTCAGAGCATCCCAGGAGGCCTAAAAAGGCCTTGGAGGGCAGCATATTTAACCCAGACCAGAAACACTGAATATGTGCGAATATTCTATAAACCACAGGTTTCACCCAGTCAGGTGTTTCATTCTGTGAGATTTTTTTGGCTAAGAATTAGGTGAGAATCAGATGCGACGTGGACAGAAACAGATAGAACCTGCCACAGGAAACTTGCACACGTGCGATTTTTAAGTCAGTCTCTTAGTTATTTATATATATCTGGCCTTACAGGTGTATAATCACCCGTTTGAAATCCTTGAACTGTTTGGGTCCCAGGCACAGCTGTGTCATTTGGAAGCTTCTGTTTTGCATTTCACTATTCAGTTACATGTGGTTTCACTCCAAAAGAGATTCCCACAGATCTGTGTAAGTTTTAGATGCTTCTGAGAGCTGTGACCAAAGATGGACCTGATCAGGAAAGGAGATACTAAAATACAGTGATCACTGGTCTTCCCTCTTTAGCTCATGCTTCATCACCTCAGCTTCTTAGAAATAGCATTGCTGAATATTAAACATGTGGATTTAAGCCCGACAGCGGGTTCACTTTGTGATAGGAGGGAAATATGAAGAGCTTTCCTCCTCCAGCCTGTGAGACCAACCTTGGCCAGCCGCAGACAGTCACAGCTGCGCAACAACTCCTGATACCATCAGCCTTGCAAGCTTTGCATTAAACCTCCACGTGAAAGCACTTCACAGAAGGTATGTGCATATATCACATGGATGACTTAATAACCAGACTATACATTTACATAGATGTATACATTTATGCATGCATGGTAGGATCCTCTTGGTTGAGAAGGAACCTTGCGCTTATTGAGTAGAAGATTTTGGCTTCTTGGCCCGTGTTTGGGCCAATTTCAGTGTTGGACCAGAGCAGTGGGTGCTACGTGTGGTTTGCCAGGTACGTGGTACGAAAGTGTGACCTGCTCAAGTGCTGGAGACCCGGCAGCTGAATGAGCAAATGCATCTCCTTGGCTCCCCCCCAGTTTGGGATGCTGGTTCCAACCAACATCATAAGGACATGGACCTGTTAGAGGAGGCCATGGAGATGCTGCAAGGGCTGGAGCCCCTCTGCTGGGAGGACAGGCTGAGAGAGTTGGGGGGGGTTCAGCCTGGAGAAGAGAAGGCTCCAGGGAGACCTTAGAGCCCCTTCCAGTCCCTAAAGGGGCTCCAGGAGAGATAGGGAGGGACTCTGGATCAGGGAGGGGAGTGATAGGACGAAGAGTAATGGTTTTAAACTGAAAGAGGGGAGATTTAGCTGAGATCTGAGGAAGAAATTCTTTACTGTGAGGGTGGTGAGAGCCTGGCCCAGGTTGCCCAGAGAAGCTGTGGCTGCCCCATCCCTGGAGGGGTTCAAGGCCAGGCTGGATGGGGCTTGGAGCAACCTGGTCTGGTGGGAGGTGTCCCTGCCCAGGGCAGGGGGTGGAATGAGATGATCTTTAATGTCCCTTCCAACTCCCACCACCCTGTGATTCCATGCTAATGATCACCCAGCAGAGGCCCATCTCCATCCCCAAAGCTTCCCAACCAGCTGGTGCTGCCGGGATGGGCGATG